AAAAATCCAATTAAAAATTTGCAAAATATTTGTATAGTTCTACAAAGTAGATATGTAGATGGCAAATAAGCATATTAAAAATGCTTAAGTTCATTACTCACTAGGGAAATACAAATTAAAACCACAATAATAACATATGATTATACACCTATTAGAATGGCTAATTTTTATTTATTTTATTTATTTCTTATTTTTTTTAAGTTTTTATTTAAACTCCTGTTGAACTGCAGTGTAATATTAGTTTCACATGTATAATTTAGTGATTCAACACTTCATATGACACCTGGTGCTCACCACCAGTGCACTTCCTAATCCCCATCACCTGTTTTACCCAGCCCACCACCCACCTCCTCTCAGTTAACTATCAGTTTGTTCTCTATAGTTAAGAGTATCTTTCTTGGTTTGCCTCCCTCTCTCTCTTTTTTTTAGCCTTTGCTTATTTATTTTGTTTCTTAAGTTCCACATATGAGTGAAGTCATGTGGTATTTGTGTTTCTCTGACTGACTTATTTTGCTCAACATAATACTCACTTGCTCCATCTATGTCATTGCATATGGCAAGATTTAATTCCTTTTTGTGGTTGAGTAATATTCTATTGAATATTTATACCACAACCTCTTTATCCATTCATCAGTCGATGGACTGATCCATAATTTGATATTGTAGATAATACTGCTATAAACATGGGCATGTATGTATCCCTTCATTAGTATTTTTGTATTATTTGGGTAAATGCCTAGTAACAAAATTGCTGGATTATAAGTGCAGTTGTATTTAATTTTAAAAATATCTAATGACAATAAATGCTGGTGAGAATGTGAAAAAAAACTGAAACACATAGAATACTGGTGTGAAAAGCAAAGTTTTACAGTCACTTTTGAAAACTGTTTAGTAGTTTTTATAAAGTTAAACATATACTTATATGAAATCCTACTCCTAGGTATTTATTCAAAAGAAATGGAAAGACATTTGCAGACAAAAACCTGCATACAAATGTTTTTATTGACCTTATTAATAATAGCCAAGAACTTGGAATATCTCAAATGTCCTCCAGTGGATGAATGGATAAACTGTGGTACATTTCATGCAATGTAATACTACTCTGCAATAAAAAGGAGAAAACTGATACAGACAACACAGATAAATCTCAAATGCATTATGCTAAGTGGAAGATATTAGTCTAAGAGGAATACATACTCTATTATTCCATTTATATAGCATTCTTCAAAAGTTAATATTATAGAACCAGATTAGTTGCTGCTGGGTCTGGGGTGGCTGGAGAATTATTTATAAAGAGGCAGTATAAGGGAGCTTTTTTTTTTTTTTTTGAGTGAGGGATCTGTTTTGTATCTTGGTTGTGGTGGTGGTTTCATTACTGCATATGTTTGTCTTAACTCTTAAAACTGTATATCAAAAAGAGTGAAATTTACTATATATAAATTTAAAAGTGAATAATAATAATGGATAAGAAGAACAATGCTAATAGAGACATATTGGCCAAATTAAAGACATTCAAAGTGTTTTGTTAACCTAGGCGGAACTCTTTGCAAACAAACAAAAAAATCAGTGGTTTATCTAAAATTCTAATTTTAATGTTGGAAAGAATGTGTTATATTTGACTTGGTGATGATGTTATGGACTCAATTCATCTTTAGAATCAGTTTTCTGAGAATGATTACTTATCAGTAAAATTTTTTAGTACTTTTCAACCAGTTAAGACATTATTAGGGCATTATTAGAGCTGGCTTTATATATGAAATCAGATATGTAAGGAAAATGTTATGTAGCAGTTCATCTGAGATGTTTCCATGTGAAAATATGGCCTAAGCAATGAGGAACTGCTAAAGGGAATTCATTCTTAGAAGATTCATTTTTTAAGTACTCCTGAAGCAATAAATTTAAAACATTTTACTCATTGCTCTGCTTGTTTGAATAGAATGTATTGAGCATAATCCTTTCAGTGGCTAAGGATCTTCATTAAACAACTGAATCATAAAGCTGAGAGCAACCTGAGAAACCCCATACCTGAATATGATAGATAAGTTGAAGGGCCCACTCATACTTAAAAATATAAATATGTTACAACTGTAACATGTTTTACAACTTAAGAAAATGAATTTACATATTGTAATTATTTGTAAAAACCCAGACTGGTAGGTAGAACATGTCATATATTCTAGCATTTTACAAACTAGGTAATAGAGGCTCATAGAAATTAAGTGATTTACTTAATAGTCCACAGTGGAGCTAAATGTAGAAGACAGGTCATCTCATTCCTATGGGCTGGCATATGCTGAGTGAGTGGCACATTGCAGAGTATTAGATTAGGAAATCCTGGGGTAAAGCTAAATTACTTGTTTACTTGTTATTTCAGTATTTAATCCCTTAATTCAGTTACCCTCCCTACTTCAACCCAACAGACCTCAATTTCCACGAAGACAATTGCTTGTCATTTTATTTGTACATAAATAAGAACCCAACTTTTAAAATGAAGGTTTTTACAACTCTTTTCCTGATTTTTGTGTAAATGATTAGTAACTTTGGCTATGCAGTCATTCAATATCTTGTCACTTAATAGACCAAGATAACTAGGGTACATAAAGATTATGACAAGTTATTTTGTGGATAAGCCTTTATCTAGTTGTTGTGATAAATAATGAATGTCCTATAATTTGAAAGAAAAACATTAGATCTTCTGATCAAAGTGGCCTTCTTGCTATTGCTATGAGTTTAAGGGAAAAACCAGAAGGGTCATAGCATTGTTTGTTGTCAGAATTGTAGACTCCAGGAGTCTGTTTAGTACTCAGATCTACATTTGGCTATTGGTATAAGTGAGGAAGAACCTGCTATGCTTTTTTTTTTTTTTTTTTTTATATAT